TCGAGAAATTAACGAAAAACTGTGAAAACTGAAAAAAATTGCGAAAAAAACGTTTTACAGCTCATAGCAGGCGACTAGATGATAATACAAAGATGTATGTAGATTCGTTGAAAAGGTGTGTTTTTCAGCTTTCAAACGAGTATTCAATCATGTAATTACCGAAAGGGGTTGTCGAGATATTAATGAAAAACTAAAAAGAGTGAAAATAAACGTCGTTTCTCTGTTTGTTTCAATTTCAACAGCTCATAGCAAGCGACTCTATGACAACACAAAGATGTATGTAGGCTTGTTGGAAAGGCAAAATATTCAGCTTTCATACGAGTGGTCGATGATGTAACTATCTTAAGGATTTGTCGAGAAATTAACGAAAAACTGTGAAAACTGAAAAAAATTGCGAAAAAAACGTTCTACAGCTCATAGCAGGCGACTAGATGACAACACAAAGATGTATATAGGTTCGTTGAAAAGGTGTGTTTTTCAGCTTTGAAACGAGTATTCAATCATGTAATTACCGTAAGGGGTTGTCGAGATATTAATGAAAAACTAAAAAGAGTGAAAAAATACGAGAAAACCGTCGTTTCTCTGTTAACGTATAAAACGTCAAGTATGTGTTTTTTTTTTCAATTTCAACAGCTCATAGCAGGCGACTCGATGACAGCACTACGATGTATGTAGGCTTGTTGGAAAGGCAAAATATTCAGCTTTCATACGAGTGGTCGATGATGTAACTATCTTAAGGATTTGTCGAGAAAATCACGAAAAACTGTAAAAACTGAATTAAAAAGCGAAAAAAACATTTTTTCGGCTTATAACAGGCGACTCGATGAAACTACAAAGATGTATGTAGGCGCGTTGGAAAGGTGAAATATTCAGCTTTCATACGAGTGTTGGATGATGTAATTATCTTAAGGAAGAAGAATTAAGAATACAAATTGATGTAGATTATTTTAGTATGTTCATAACTAGTGTCTAAAGGATTAATTTATAAAAGGAATAATGTGAATCAATTAGAGTCCTGAAAAATAACAAAAATAAATAAAAAAATATAAATCGGGTATTCGTTTGTGTTTTTTTTTTGTTGTTGTTGTTGCATGTTCTTTATACACAGTATTTATATAACAAATTTATTTAATATAATATACATATTTCTTAACCTTCCTCTTTCAATAAAATAAAAATAAAATACGTGTTCACTTTTTACAAAAAAAAAAA